TTGTGAACAGCAGAGTCCATGGGCCCAGCTTTTGGTGGCTCTGGGCCAGTACTGTCATGCGTAATAAGCACAATGTCAATCAGCCGTCGAGGTCTTCCACAATCAATGCAAACACTCTCCTCTTTTGCATGGATCACATCTCATTAAGACAAGGTCACCTTTCATTACTAGGGGCAAGGACTTGCTTTGCTTTGCGGCTGCAGCAATCAGACTATGCTAACACTGTATTTCTCTGTGATACGACCAAGTCTGCCTCTTTTTTTCTCTTTATTGGTTTCAATTAAACACCCCGTCTCACCTTCATGGACCCCCACAGCAAGGAAACGACCATAGAAAAGTTCCACCATCGGGTTCTTTGGCTTCTCACCCTCCCTGGAGAAAAATCAGGATAATGTTACAGGCCTCACTTCTTCACATTTCATGTAAACAAGGACATTTTTTATTGTGCCCTTTAAAATATGTCACATTCCAATGTCGGGATCAGATTACACAATAATCAGCCTGATTATGACACAACCCACATGAAGAACGCCGCTGATTTGGTTTGGGAACAAAAATGGCTGCTTTGTGCAACAAATAACTGTTTACCTCAGCTGTTTGAACTCTGGTGAGGGAAATAAGGGAACCCTTGTGACAGTGTTTTTGCTCATTCCCTACCGTTCAGCTCTCTAAACCTGACTCTAATAGTCTAATCTGACACAGTGGCCGTCACATCACTTGAAAACACTGTGTAGTCTGAGACCGGCACAACATCAGCAAGTCAGACGACCTGCCTGACTATGGGGCCACTGTTTCCACAGCAACCTCTGGATCCAGGTACAGCTGCGCTTACCTGTCTTCTTCTGCCTTCATCTGGAAGGCATCCTCCAACCAGTCCAGCAGCTTGTGGGTGAACTCACTAACATCCTGCTGTTGAGCGAAGCACAGATAAGAGTAAACAAATAAGAGTACAGAAAACCAATAATAAGGAGGTCATTCAAATCAATGTCATCTATCATCTGCGTGCACTTTGGATGTAAGAGCAGCGGTCTTATTGGAGAATCTCGCAACCTGGTGAACTTCAAAGGTAGCCTGTATGCCTCGAGGGCACTCTCTGGTAGATATCAATGTCATCTAGTAATTCAGGTTAATGTCTATCCAGCCTGAGTAATACAAAGGAGAGACATGACTGATGAGCACACGGGCCACAAGGCTGACCTCAGTTAACCTCTGGCCTAGCAAGAATGTCTACGTAAGAAGAACAAATGCACAGTTTCGTACATTTTATGCATGTCTATCATATTTCGTGGATGAACACACAAATCAGATAATTAATGGCCAACAGAACTTTTGTGGCAGACTTCAGAGGGGACGAAGAAGGTTAATAGTCACTAAATAAAGGGGGTTAAGTGTTTGGGGTTTTCTTTCTCAATATTCCCCACTGATGCACTTATTGCTATAATACTATTGCCGCCAGCGTTGATCTCGTTAAACTGACATTAACGCCATAACCGCATTAACGCAGCAAATTTCCATTAGCGAGTTATTGCGGATCGCTGACAGCGCTATATAATAAATTAATACTTTCATTAATATTCATCAGAAAAAGGGTGGCGTGCCCACTCCGGGTCAGGGACAAGACCCTGCCCCAAGTGGAGGAGTTTAAGTATCTCGGGGTCTTGTTCACCAGTGATGGGAGAT